ATGTGTCACATGGTATCCATTTTGAACTTTCCAATGCATCCCACAGATTATAATCCTGTTCTATTATTTCCCTATTAAGTTTATCAATATCCACAGGAACGGAATGTTCTGGAAATATATAATGCGAAGTATAATGTAATTATATAATTATTACAAAATAGGATAAAATGTTCTTACCAATTAATTCTAATTCATCTTCTTCAGGTTTTTGATCTGATATATAACTGTTATATCCATCTGATGTAGGTTCACTTTCATAGTAGCCTTGTTGCCATGCACTATAGCTGTTCCAATATGACGATGTGTCATAGTAATTATAAGCGTCTGAATTCATATTTGATGCTGGATAATCAGATGATGACTGCGGTGGAGTAGATCTGAAGCAAATGAAAATTAAGTATTAAATACATGCAGTGACTTACATTGTTTAAATATAAATAAGGAGATATTGTGTATACCCTGATATTTTATTCCAAGGCCTAGGGACAGCATTACAAATTTTTAGTGATTTTGTTCCTAGTCCTCTATATCCATTCATGGTAACTAAACTATTCTTTTGTTCTTCTTCATTAGCAAATCTGACAAAACCATATCCTTTACTAAAACCAGAGCTATCCAAAATTACTTTTGCAGTTCTAATTGAATTATATTTTGCTGCAAATGCTCTGTATAAAGAATAATCATCTACATCTGTTGATAAATCTCCAACCCAAATACTGAATTCTCTTTCCGCTGCTGGTTTTCCTGTTGTACTAGCATGATTTAATCGGAACCTTACAGGCTGAAATGTGAGATCAATGTAAAATTAAATACTATATAGAAGAAATTAAAGCTATATTACTTAATACTATAATAATGTACATATAATAAATATATGAGTCTTACAGGATTAGAACCAGGAATCACTTTGCCATTTAATTTATGCATAGCATCAAGTGCCATTTCATCAGTTGGAAAATGTACAAAACAATATCCTGCTGGCTCACCAGTATAGCGATTTCTCATTACTTTAACAGTTTGCGGTTGTTCTCCCATTTTGTGAAAAGCATTCATTATAAAACTTTCTGTCATGTATGGCTCTAACTAGAATGATTACATATAGAATATATAATAAAAGAATTACACACAGCACAACTCTAAAATTTAAATGTATAATATGTATATTCTTTAAAAAGTAGATATCTTTTACTTACTCCACCCATCCATAATTGGCACAATACCATTGGTCCTGACATTTTCTTGTTTATGCTTCTTTGAGATTAAGTAACAAAACACTTAGAATTCTATTACGAAACATAAAAATCAATTACTCGAAGTTTGAATTATTAAAGTAACGATGTTTATTTCAAGCTTTCTGTTTCTGTTTTTAAAAACATAATCAATGTACACACAACAGAAAATTAATAGAGAAAATTGTTCAAAAAATAACAAGTACACAAAACTTTTAAAAATCTCGAAGTGGTTAGAATTTCTATTTGTACACTATGTACATATACTATACATATTTGCCCTGCATGGTTAAAAACAAGTCACTTGGAAAAAATGTAGCACATTACAAGCCGAAGTGTATGTAGTCCCCCTTACAGTGAATCTCACTACCCCCTTGTCAAATTTATTGTACATATACAGGGTGTCCCAAAATTATGTTACTTCCGGAAATGAGGGGTTCTTGAAGTCATTTGAACTTTTCCTCAGCGCAAATGCGAACTGACATCCGGCTGACACAAGGCGGACCGAGCCATCGAGCGAATGAAGTCTAGGTTCTCTCATTGGCTCGCATCAGCTGGTCTTGCCTCCCATTGGTCACTGTTTCCCATTAATAAACAAAGCCGCGGATTACATTTGCGCTAAGGCAAAAGTTACTTCAAATGACCTCAGGAACTCCTTATTTTCCGGAAGTAACATAATTTTTGGGCACCCTGTAATATGTACGTATATATGCTCCAGCCATATATTTTTGAGCCATGGATTGTATACATGTATGATGCAGAGTTTATAGCAGTCTCTATAGGGTAGCGGGTAGACTATAGAGTCACCGTTATCCTGTGATTTCCAAATTTTTAAATTTTATTCAAAATTTAATTTAAAATTGTTATTAACTTCTTTCTGTAATACTGTAAAATAATACAACCGTGCTTTGTGGTTACAAAATGTTAAAGGGTTGCTAACCTATTAGAAATAGTACCATATTTTGGTAACGGCGCGTTGAATCTTCCAAATTACGTGACAGTAACGAAGGAAAAATTTACAGTAATATCTCAGGTCTTGCAGAATTTTTCTACCTCCCTTAGCTTTTGCAAACATCTCCACCATTTTACTGCGCATCCAATCCGCAATGACTTCTGTTTTAGCTTTGGATCGGTAGCCAATCAGATCAAAGCAATTTCTGCTCCTATTTTTACTAGCGGAACGCGCTGTGGCCAGAAAATCTTACAGAAACTTAGGTATCACTGTAGTACGTTTATCGTCCTACATATTAAATACCTGTGAAAAGTATTTTAGACATGTTCCGATTTCTAATTGGTAACATATTCGCCATTATTATAACCAACCAATCAGAAATAAATAAAATTTATGCTTGATCATTTGTACATATGTAATATGTAATATATATTATCAATTGAACATGTGAAAGTGAAAAATATTTTTGTAATAATATTTCGTGAATATACCTATTTGTATTGTTAATCAACATTGACAAGGCGGCAGTACATATATTGTATTAAATAATATAAAATAATTCTAGGGTAATTTAATACTTTAGTTTGTATGATAAAGAAATTCAGTATATTTCAACATTTTAGAATAATTTATTTAAGGACGATCATTTTCTAAAATATGTTTTTCTTTCCAACGAATTGTAATTCTTATTTAGAAGGCATCATACATAAAAATGCAGCCTTTAAAATAAATGAAATGCGTTGATTATTATGAGTTGATATAGTGTAGGCGTCATCTTTAATGGATTTTTTTCTTCGTAGTGATAATGAATTTTGATATCGCAGCAAATAAACATGGCGCTGATTTGATACTAGAGTTCTTTACTTCGGACAAGCCGCGAGCCTTGTCGCAATTTGCACAAACTCAGATATTTCATTTTTTCAATCTGTCCATGTATGTACAACCGAAATAATTTACTGTACAGTGAACGTATCGTCCATATTCCAAACTGTTTTTGAGAGCGAATCTTTGATAAACTTGCACGTCATACATGTCAAAATGGCCCGGGAATATGATCATTTATTTAAGCTTCTAATAATAGGAGATAGTGGTAAGTGTACAAATTTGTGTTTATGTGAAATATGTCGAAACATGAAAATATACTTACAAAGAACAAAGCGTTCGGGAAACTTATAGCTAGACTAAGAATTTGTAGAGTGTCATTTATTTATCACAATTAGTAAGTTTATAGAAAATTATATTCCATAGAATATTAAAAAAGCGATCAGATTTTAGAAAAGATTGATTATATATCAACA